TACCAACAAAAACCTTATTTACTATACTTTTTGTGTACCCCCAATCTCAATGATCTGTATCCGCCTATTATTTTTGAAAATGCATATTTTTAGGATCCATGTGAATTCCTGGTTCATTCTCTATCGATCGGCAAAAGTTGCGTTAAGATTGGTTCAGAAACCTGGCCGTGATAAACAGTCTAAAATGTATCTGCAATTTGCCCGTTTTTACCCCCCTCTACCCCCCTATTGACATTTTTTAATTTTATTTTTTTAGAAATGTAGATCTCGTTGAGCCAAATCGAATGCCGGTTGAATTTTGAAGATCGGCCGGTTAGATCTCGAGATATCAAGGGGGGTCGTAAACAGCCCCCCCCCCTGCCACTAATATGGGGTAGCCAGGAGCCTGCCACTAATAGGGTTAAGTCGTAAGGCTTCGTTTTATATACGGTTGTGTCGTGTCGTCTTCTACGGTCGTATGATGTCAGTTTGTACAGTTGCACGTCACTGGCTTATATAACCGTAGATATAGGATTCTGTCTCTACAGCCATAAGGTGTCTGCTCTTGATCTGGCGGCGTTGAATCTTTTAGATACCAGCCATCGGCATCATTTCGGTATAGGGCCTCAGTGGGAGTCATCTGAGATGTGCCCAAAATACAAAGACACAACCTTTGTCTGTAGCCAAAGGTCAGACACGGCCCATGACCTTTGACCCGGTACCTCTCGATACCGTTAGCCGTGATTATTGTCTGAAACGAGGCGATACTCCTAGTGTTAAGTATCGCTCTTTTGTTTTCCAATGTAAAGTACCCTAAAACTTCTCTCACTTTCCGCAATTTTCATTGATCAGAGAGCTTGTTTTAGTCACCTAAGATTTGAGTGTCTATTGGTAAGCAAAAATACAAGGCCTAAAAACGGGGAATAACTCTTTTGTCTTTTGTCCTAAAGTAGCCAGTCTAAAATACTATGAGCGAACAAGCTAGTCAGGATAGTCATTCTCTACGACATATTCGTACACAACAAAAACGCCTTATAGCCCTCGCCGGCCGATATGGAGGGACGGGTGCCTCCCTCATATGTTTTTTTTCGCAATAGCTCCAAACACGCCGGCGCTAGAGAGCTGAAACTTGGTATACCTGGCTTTTGATTCAAGCCGCATGTTTTGATACCAACCGCATTTTGAGGTCAGTTCAGGTAACTGACCTATGACGTCATAAGTGAACCTCTGCACGATCCTAAGATCTCGCAACTTCGCAACGCCCTCAGTGCCAGATAAACCTTCACAGGGAGATGAAACTTACAGGATGTAGTATTCTTCAGAGGTTTCAAAACTTGTACATCTCGGATATTTCCTAAAGGCTATATTGAGGCCAGGTCGGTCAAGTGACCTCACCATTACACCTAAGTCAATGGAAAAAATAAAAACTGCTATTTTAGCGCCGGGAACGATCTCAAACCATCTCAAGCACACGGAATGGTGATTTCTTGCACTGCTTGCGAGGTTCGATGCTTCACTTTTGTATTATTGACCTTGCGTGACGACATTTATGACGTCACTTTGGGTCATAAGAGTTTTTCGTCAATAACTCCCGACCACCTACGTGACTTGGGGGCGCTGACCTGACCTTGACCCGAGGTCAACATCTCAAGCTGACCTCACCCGAACAAAAAGTATACCATTCGACGTGCTTGAACGAGGCAAACACGACGATGCCAAAATCGCGACTCTGTGACCGCATTTTACGAAATTATTTATGAAAAACTGAACCCGTGCCTTGGGTCACTTGACCTGACCTCAGAGGTCACCAGTTCATATGAGACCTTAAAATCGAGTACCAGTCGCAGCGTCTCGTAAGGGTGCACACGTTCGTTTTTTTCCGCGGCGCTCTAGCTCCATCAGGGGCGAAACGATAATTGACGAGGGGGGGGGGGTCGGTCGTACCACCCCTCCCCCTCGGCCGGCGCTTATGTAGAAAACCAATAGGTCCCGGCGAGGAATAATGTACAGACGACGGAAATACAAAGCAAAGTATCATGTAAAGATACTTTGCTTTGCTTTATTTTCTTTTTGGATACTGCGATATGTAGAAGAAAAATATCGGAAAGTTGTAAGAGAAAGTGCGGCAAGCAAATGCAAGCAACAGAAAGAGAAAAGCGTTTAAATCTTGTGATGTAGGTGTTACAGGCAATGTGTGGAATCAGGCATTCTATAGAATGCCTAGGCATTCTATAGAATGCCTGACCGACCAGGCATTCTATAGAATCCCTAGGTATTCTATAGAATCCCTGACTGCTTAGGCATTCTATAGAATGCCTGGCTTAAGCTCCCAGGCATTCTATAGAATGCCTAAGTATTTTGATTGTCCGAAACACACTTCGAAAATTAGGGGTCATTGGCAGTAATGCTATTTGTTTACCTAATTTTCATTGTTGGCCTAGGCCGGTCGTCACCTCACACCATTTCAGGGCAATGAGCTGAGAGGAAGCGAGGGAGGTATTGGGCTATGCCGACCACCAAATGGTGCGCCGCAAGCAGCAGCTGATCCAATTCCGTTGGCACGGAAGAGCCACGGCGCAAGGCACGCGGGAGAGTCACAGGCCAACCAGTCGCTTAAACGGTTACCCTCGGAGGATTATGCTGCTACAGATACGAAGCTGCATTAGAAGAGTGTTGGCTGGGAGGGTGGACCGTAGGCTTGAATCGAAAGTGATTGCGAATGACGATGGCTTTGTTCTGATGTTAGAAATGAAGGTGAAAAATACACCTGAAAGGTCACATTTTATGTCGTCATAAGCACTTCGTGTAACGACTCTCAATATACATACATGGACAGCTCAACCTACACCGTAATGTCAGGGAATAACCTGAATAAATGGTTCATTATTCCACGTCTGGGCGGTGGCCCGGCCGTAACAAGAGCCGGATTAGGTGTTGTTCGATCTCCCCTTCCAGCTTGACTTCTGGGCCATGCGGTATTTGAAAGGTCGTCAAAGACTCAAAATTATGAAATTTTACTTCAGTTCTTCTTTGGCAATGTTCGAAAGGGTGCCATTTCTAAAACAAATAGCTAAGCCATTTTTTAGGTCAGCCCAATTTTTGTCCATTTTTGGCTCGTAGCCGTTTTCTCCAGTTTGACCTTAAATCAATTCCTTAGAAGACAAACACCTCCAAAAATGGACGATTTGTCAATTTTTTCTGTGTAATTTTTTTTTTTACCAAAGGCGTTTCCGATATTGACATTACCACCATCGTCTTTCTAGCGTTAAGATAAATACTCTGTACTCTCAGAATGAAATCCTGATACAATTTGACCTAATAAGGTCAGATTGAATACCTGACCGGAAAATTTGACTGAATGAACATTTGAGTCAAATGATTTGACTGAATGAACATAAATAGCTGAACGCAAGGTAGCCTGGCAGAAAATAATAATGTTACATGTCGGTCTGTGCTCATAATCTTATACAACATCCACTTATATGTTGGAAAGATTCGTGTATTTCCTAGGCATTCTATAGAATGCCTGAAAATCAGGCATTCTTTAGAATGCCTAGGGATTCTATAGAATCCCTGGTGGGTCAGGCATTCTATAGAATACCTAGGGATTCTATAGAATGCCTGGTCGGTCAGGCATTCTATAGAATGCCTAGGCATTCTATAGAATGCCTGATTCCACACATTGCCTGTAACATAGGCACACTTTGAAAACTTTAAGTCAATTACATTGTCTAACTCATTGGGGTTGAGTTCATCGCGCAGTGCAGACCAGAACTGCATGCCGCGGTCATAGCAGAGGGCGATCGTCATTAGCAAAATGGCCGCCGTCACCAGCTGACTCACTCGAGGAAGGAACGCATCAATGCGGCAAACACATGGAACACTCGGCCTACTTGACAAATATGTACTTCCAACTAAAAATACACTAAATATCTATCAATTTTAGAGATAGAAATTGTTTTTCATTCCTCGAAAAAACATTGAGAAAGGATTAACGAAGACTGAATTTGTAGAGTCATGCATTTTGGAAAGCGAAACTTTGACGCGCAAATATCCCCATAGCTTTTTGGATTTAAAATCACATTTTCCTTCAGTAATGAAGTATCTGAGCTTGTCATTGCTTGCCATTCTGTAAATGCCAGCGTGTTATAAACGGGTGCCCAGCAACATTGATAGTTGTTGCAAAATGACAGTGATGTACAGTTCACCTACAAATGAGATGTCCTCTCTCTCTCTCTCTCTCTCTCTCTCTCTCTCTCTCTCTCTCTCTCTCTCTCTCTCTCTCTCTCTCTCTCTCTCTCTCTCTCTCTCTCTCTCTCTCTCTCTCTCTCACTCACTCTCACTCACTCTCTCCTTCTCTCTCTCTTTTCTGTCTTCTGTGAGAGAGCGAGATGTCCTCCCGTCGCATGCATCTGTCACAAGCGAAAGATAGATATGCTTGATTTGTTCAAGAATATCTAGTCCACACATAGGATTTCAAACGCTGAGCACATGTTTCCAACGCAGCAAAACTAATTTATGAACACGTATTATAGCATAGACAGAATTGAGAAGTGCCTGTTAATTATATGGCCGTGTGTGATCACTTATGCAGAAGTTCGTCGGTCACATAAGTATTTATGAGTTATTCGCGTTAGAGAGAGAATTGAACAGCAGCCCTCTCATAAAACACAATATTGCCTCACAAAACTCAAATATCTGCCCTTTGGGCCAAACTCATGCATCACCAAAGGGTATTATCAAGTCCCGGTCAAATTTACTTCTCCATAACCATATATTTATGGATTATGGAGTATTACCAGATATAGAGCCAGAAATAAATTTTCATAAACTTAGATCATGTGTTATTACGTATAGTGGTGAGACTAAAAGTAATTAAACATGATCCCATTCCCCAATCTCGAGAACAGCAAACCTTTTCCAGAGCGCACATCTCAATAACACGCACTTCTCCAACCGACGTTACCTACGAAATCCACCGACTATTTTTTTCTTCTTCTCCGATCTAGCCAAGTACTCACCACATTCGCCGATATGTCTCCAATCCAATTCCAACAGCTCGTGCGTTTTACGCCACTCAGCGCCACCAATCCGTACGTTCAGTCCGTGCGCGCGTGTCCGTCACAGCGGCGGCCGTGCTCACTTCTCTCCGCGTCGAGAGCGACTGGCCACCCCAGCCTCCGGCGACGCGATCCTTCCCTCCCCTCCCCTCCCCCCTCGGCCGACGGAGAGGCAGGCCGCCGGGCCAGGGTAGCGCACTGATTGGAGGGGAAGTTTGTAATGACGACTAGGTGGTGACAGGTGGAGTACGGTCCGGAAGTCAGGGGATGATAAAGTTTTCATGATGGTGTAGTTCAGTTTTCGATCAAATGCATTGCAACGTAAATATAGTACCTGATTGAGATGACTTTTAAGCTCGGCTGAAAGTATTGGAAGGGTTTTGTTTGTAGCATCAACACTATTTAACAAAACATTTATTGGATTTTTAGAACACGCGCTTTGTGGCAGCTAAATGGTTTATCGACACTTAACATGTTAATTTCATTATATTGGTCAACATTTCTTTCAGAAAAGACAACTATGTAGAACTCTTTGTAGAACGATTCATCGGTAAATGCTAAGTGAAACATCGATAAATTGCAGTTTCAGCTCAAGGGCCAGAGCTAATTACTGGGTCTACATTATAGAGATGTCAATCGGATACCAACTTTTTGGTATACCGATACCAAACCGATACCAACTTGGTATTTGGTATTTAATCCTAATGTTTTTGGTAGGTATTTTGTTTGGTATCATGAACCCTCACTAATGTATAAGAGGCTGAGAAATTGGTAAAAAGTTGGTATTTCCCTCATGTTTCCAACTTAGTTTGGTTTCGGTATTTCCCATGGTTTTTGTTGATATTTGGTTTGGTATCGGTATTCCGATTTTCCGTAATTTACATCACTTGTCTACATACTCCATCCCTACCGACACAGCAGCTGAAAAAGCTAATCCACGCTTAAGTCCAAAAAGTGAGCGTCGTGGCTTCGTGCACTGTAGCGTGAGTGCGCTCTTCTTATGGCCTGAGGGTTCAAATTATTGTGTTGAATTATCGTCATGGTCTACAGATCTTACAATAATTGGTGCTTGACAATAAAGACACGCTATTGATTTTCAGGCCTTACAGTCAGCACCAATCTATAGAGCTGCAGTGTCAATAGCCGGGGTCTTCAGCGCTCACCACCGGACGACTGGCGCCAAAGTGCAGCCAATCTGTTTCAGAGGCACAAGGTCGTGTCAGACCGCGTGTTCATCACTCGACCTGACGGGTCGCAGTCCGGTCTGAATGCGCCCTCAGCCGTTACGGCCTTGTTTGTGTTTGTGCCGTGGCAGTGAGTTTGTTTAACTTCGCGCCGCGCTGTTGAATCGCGGTCAGACTATCAAGGACGTCGCAGTAAGCAGCGTGTGTGCTGGAGTGACAAACGTCATGATATTTTCCTGAGTATAGGTAGTATTCGCCCCAGTGGGGGGGGGGGGGGGGGGAGAGGGGGGTTATGTTACCACCCTGTCGCGTTTTTTTGCGTGTGAATAAAAAACCGCGGCGCGTAGCGCCGCGCCGCTTGGAGTAGCTTTTTATACATCAATTTTGGACAATGTGTGAAATTTTTGACCCCAGGTCATGTCAGGTCAGGTCACCAGGTCAAGTTAACTGAATAAGCCTAAAAAAGTTTGCAATCATGTCCAGCCTGAAGTTTTTGTAAGAGAGGTGGTGGATTACATGATGTTATGAGCGCCTATAATTTGTATATCTCGGATTTTGTATATCCGTGACCTAAGGTCAGGCCAGTAGCGTGACCTTACCATTACAAATTAATGGAGAAAAATGAAAATGCCTCTAGATCCGTGTGTACACATAGGATTTAGGAACAGTCCAAATATTTCAGAATCACAATGATTTGGACCACCCGTGACGACCATGGTGTCTTTTTTGCTGATAGCCTCTAGAAAGGTCATCCGAGGTCATTTGAGGCTACAGACAGATTTTTACCAATAACTCTCGATTGGAAAGAGATAGGACGCTGGGGATGGCCTCATTGTGTTTGTCTTGTTGAGACGCATCGAATGATATGCAACATGACCTTTTCCGATCAGGTCATGACCTTGACCTGAGGTCAAATTTTCAAGTTGACCTTTCAAGGTCAAATTATAGTTCATTCGACGCGTCTCGGCAAGAGGAACACGATTCTGGCAATAGAAATGTTGTAGCATTTTTGAATCAAACGTTATGGTCGAAAAACACATTTCGTAAAAACAGCTATTTTTGGATTTTTTGCCCTCTGGTGGCTAAACCGTTGACCTGAGATCAATTTTGATGACGACCTTATCAAAAGAAGAGTTCAAAAGCTATCGATTGCTTTTCCATGCGTTTTTCTAGCTATTATAGTTCCTGAGATAAATGCATGTTTTCTGATAAATATAATGACATTTGGCAAATTTTGACCTTGATGACCTCCAGTGACCCCAATATTGCTCTAAGATGAAAAATGACCGAACTATTTTCAAACGTGCGCATTGGAGCAATCGACTGTTTTTTACCGCGTCTTTCTTCTAGCCCTCTTAGTTTTTGAGTTAGAGGTGGGTGGTAACATATGCCCTCCTCCCCCCACTAGGGCGAAGTTGGCGGAGACCGCCACTGGGGCGCGGGTTTAAAAGTGAGCAGTTGTCAAGAAGCAGGGTTACCTGTTCTTAAGCTACCGAAACCATGGCTCGAACGTAAAGATTCCAAAGTGCGAGGTCGCTGTGATGCTGGGCGCCCATCCCACGCTTCTCCATCCCACGCCCATCCCAAAGTTCTAAAACTCAGTCCAGTATGAGACCATTGACTTTTAAACTTTGACTAACATCCTGAGCCCAGGTCGCTAAGGATGAGGCCATTGTGCCCTCAGAGTTTATAACTAACTCAGCATTTTTCCATTAATTTGTAGTTGAGCAACCCTTGCCCGGCCCGGCCAGACCGATTGTGATACGGTGGACGGTAGAGTGGTTTCGTATCAACGTCCTTTCACGATAAGCTCTTATATGACATCAAAGAAAATAGCAAATTTGCTTGGTAGGTAGCCGGGTAGGAAGGCCTTTGGAAACCTATAACCACTTTGCAAAGTTAATGAGAGACTTCAAGGGAATATTTTGATTGTTCTATTTCCTATTTAAGTTTTTTTTTAGGATTCGTTCTAATAACCAAGCAAGGCAAACGTGTTAGCGCTTCAAGGCACATCAAATGAAATTCTTTGGTGATCTAATAGTGAACTGAACAAGTTCAGTCATCTACTTTTCAGTGAAATTTAAAGCTCTTGTTTCACCTGGTAACGCTTCCTAATGCATATCATTCGATTTGGCTGAATAAAAAAGAATATCATTTTTAAGCTTCAGTTTTATTTAATGACATGCATGTCATTAATGTCATATAATGTCATTAATGCATGTCATGGCAACATGTTGCCGGATATCTGAATCGTGTATATTGAATGATCCACAAGGAATGCTAAATTTGACGGCGCTTTGTGTCGTTGTTTTTACGCTATATGCAACTAAGAAGAGGTTGGGGTTCACGTTCACATACAAATAAATAGACAATAGATAAAATAGATAGTGTAAATAGATAAAACATAAATGACGCCTATGTCATACGGAGGAGGATCACCGATCGAGTGTGTTCATGACTACTATAGTTCGTTTTTTTTTTCAAAAGGACTCTGGCTCCAAGTATGTTTTTCGAAAAAGCACGCGTTTTAGCGAGCAAAACGAGCAAAAACTGAACCCAAACTGAACCAGAGAAACTCGAACGTCGCCTTATTTTAACATGTGAAGTATTCCTGATGATTTCCATACGTGCGTTTTGGAGCCAGATATGAGAACAGTGGTGACGTCATGCTGTCGAACTTGTATTGCAGTGTAACGTATAACTATCATGGACGAAACCGCTTACTCAATTATAACCTCGGCAACAGTGAAAAACGAAGTATTCCCCAAATTCGTCAAAACTTTGTCCCATCTTACGGACATTGGGTGCCTGCTGCCACCATTGACGTCATCATAGTATGCTAATTTTTCAGGACACAATTTCCGGGTACTTACCGTGCACAATTTGAAATCGTATATTTTTTCGGTAAGAAATTCTTGGCCAGACGCTGAAGCTGCCAAAACTCACGTGAGAGCTTCGGTAATGCACTTTGAGCCAGCGTCCTTTTGAAAAAAAAACGAACTATAATTGCATTTTTTAGCCAGAGTTGAGTGCAAGCAAATGTTCAAACAGTCCGTTTTCCCAGAAGCTTTCAAATCCCCTCACTGTTTCTGAATTCAAGCGTAAAAGTGCTCTCAAGATCTACCTAAGGACGCTGAAGGGCTTACCGCAGGCCTCCTCAAACCTCAATCCAACCGAAAAGGGCTATATGGAGTTTATTGAACTCTTCGCCTGGCCTGGTTACTCGGTTGAAGGACGGCACGTTGCAGAACTCCGCCAGAGTCGCAGAGAGCGCGGGTCGCTTATCCGATATCTGCTGATTACTAGCGATAGGGTGTTCGTGGAATCGAGCTCGCAGCTCAAACACATAATTAGGCGGCGTTTTGTGAAGCTGGGATAGAGAACATTGAGACGCATGCTTTGTTTGAATCGTTTCGAGTGTGGAGTGCAATGGTGCTTGCATGCACTTCCAAAACTCTGACATTTGCAGTGTACGGAATGCTTAGGCCAAGCCAGCACTCAATACTATGTCGCGCCTGATTAGTTTACTAGTTCATCCGTAATTCCGAAGACGGTTTGCTGCTTTGTCGAAACAATTTCCCAACGAAATTAAATGCAAAACAGTTCCATTCTCGTTCTGTCTTCAATTGAGGCCTGCTAAAGGAGTTTCGGCTCAGAAGTGTTCAGTGGAACCATCACCACTCAGTTCGTCTCACATTGTGGCTTCTCCGCTTCTCCGTGGCCTGTGGCTTCTCCGAATCCGATGATCCTGATCGCTGTGCCGAGCTCCTCCGAGACGGTAAGGATTTGTTGAATAAGTTATCAGCTTTGTTGATTAAAAGAAACGTAACGGTATGTGGAAACGGAGCAGCGATTGAAGGCTAGATTTAATATAAAGTAAACGAAGTATTGCTAAATCCCTCCCTCCCTCCCTCCCTCTCTCTCTCTCTCTCTCTTTCTCTCTCTCTCTCTCTCTC